GCCGCGCCCGCCGAGGCGCAGTGGAAGCGGGCAGTGGGCGCCCCGTTCTTTTGCCTGGGTGTCCAAGTGTGCCACTTCCTGGTAGGCCTCCACCGCGGCCGCGTCGTAAACCGTGGCAGCGGCCCGCGTGGTCGCCCGCAGATTTGTGCCCAGCAGGTGCGCCAGCTTCCCCATGCCGCAGTGTCGCAGGAGTAACCCCGCAGCCTGCGTCGCCGGGAGGTGCGGCGAGGCCAGCCGGGCAACTTTGCGAGCCTCTCCAGCAGGGTTGATGCCCGCCCACCGTCTCGGCGCAGCGTTCGGCGGAGTAGGCGGGCGTTCCCAAGTCCAGGCTGGGCGGCGCCCGTCCGCCGCGTCCGGCAAGTTCCCCGGCAGCAGCGGCTCGCCCAGCGGGGCGCCCGCCAGGGTGAGGCCGCGCGGGCGCCACTGCGCCTCGAGTCCGGCCCGGGCACGGCGAGCGTGGAGACATGGGCTGCGCCTTTTGAGGCTGGAGCTCAAGGCCACATGCGCCCAGGGCCTCTTGCGCCGCCGGGGTGGCGGCGGCGTCCAGCTCGGGCGGCGCGACGACGATCGCGGCGTCTTAGGAGGCCAGTGCGCGAACGTCGTCAGGCCGCAGCCCCTGGGCAACTGTTTCCGCGCGCCTCGCATCCTCCAGCGTGTGCAGGCGAGGGCGCAGGCCGCAAACGAACAGGAGCGACGTCCAGGGCGTCTCCCTGGTCAGCCCCGTCCGCCGAACGGAAACGGTGGCAAGCCCAGCTGATGTCCCAGAGGTGATACTGGGAGCGCCGCTGGCAGAAGAGCCCTGCGAGGGACGTCAGGTCCAGCGCCGAGTCCTCCAACTCAGCCAAGCAGTGGGCCTTGTTCGCGGTGCAATGGGCGTTCTTCGTGTCTACCGCCGTCGGCAGCAAATCGGAGCTGCTCTCGGAAAGCACCGTGACCGCGTGGGCAAGCAACTCGGTCCCTGCCCTCGCCCCAATCAAGAACTGCCGCGTCTCCTCCTCCTCCTCCGCCCCATCCTCCTCCTCCTCCTCGTCCTCTTCGTGCGTGGCTTTTCCTATATATATATATATATGTATATATAACTCCTTCCTGTCGCGCCCGGAGGCCGGTCGAAAAGGAGGCGGGCTGGGCGTTTCGCCTGAGACTGCCTTACCACTTATGACCCTGAAGCAGCTTAAACGTTGATGAAAGCTTAACGGGTTGAGAGCGGGCCGTTTTCAAATTGTGGCTCTCGCCTTACTGCCGCGCACACTCGTCTTCAGCATTGCAAGCTTTTCCGTGGATCGAGGGCGGGCCGTTTTCAATCTGTGGCTCTCGCCTTAGTGACGCGCACGCCCGTCTTCAAAATGTACAAGGAGTTTTGCGGATCGAGGGCGGGTCGGTTTCAAAATGGGGCTCTCGACTAGACGACTGCGCACTCTCGTCTTGAACAATTGTAAGAATTTCACGGGTTGAGGGCTGGTAGTTCTCAAGATGCGGCTCTCGCCTTCGCATCGCGCACATTCGTTTGAACAATTGCAAGAACTCCACCGATTGAGGGCGGGCCTTTACCGCCGCGTGCATCCGTCTTCAACATTTGCAAGGATGCTCGCGTATGGAAGGCAGGTGGTTCTCAAATGTGGCTCTCGACTCCACGGCAGCGCACATTCGTCTTGATTTTTGAAATCAAATTTCACGGATTGAGGGCGGGTCGTTTTCAAAATGTGGCTCTCGACTAAACGACCGCGCGCACTCGTCTTGGACATTTGCACGACTTTGCCGAATTAAGGGCAGGTGGTTCTCTCAACATGTGGCTCTCGCCTCAACGCCGCGCATCTTCGTCTGGACTTGCAAGAGTTTCACACGTTGAGGGCGGTTCTTTTTCAACATGTGGTTCTCGACTGAACGTCCGCGCGCACTCCTCTGAAAAACGTTGCATCATTTCGCAGATTGAGGGCGGTGCCTTTTCAAAATGTGGCGCTCGCCTCAGCGCCGCGCCCACCCGATTTAAACATGTACAATTGTTTCGCAGATTTCCAGTGCTAGCGTACCAGAAACTGTGTTCTGGAAGGGTTCAGGATTGCCAGGGCGCAACACTTACGTTCATTCGTGGTGTGGAAATCCCAGAAATGGTGTTCTGACGCGGTTCAGGATCGTCACGACGCAACACTCAGGTTCATTCGTGGCAATGAAGTCCTGACAATAATGTTTTCGCACGGATCTTCAAACGGCTGTCTCCCAACGGGACACTTCCTTCAGTGGAAATTAACCCTTGTGGAGGAACTCTGAAAGTGAACTTGGGGGAGGGTTTATTCCAATATCGCTGACGAATCTTAAGTTTACGCTGGTCCTCCTCCACCTCCTCCTCCTCCACCTCCTCCTCCTCCTCCTCGTCATCCTCCTCCTCCTCCTCCGCCTCCTCCTCCTCCGGTTCCTCCAAGCGGCGGCTCGGCCCCGACCCTGGGCACCCGAACCCGCGCCATGGCGCTGCCGCGCCGCCCGCCGTTGCCCGCTCCTCCTCCGCCGTACGCCGCCACGCCTCCTCGGGCATCACCCGCCCCCGCGCGGGATGGACCCGGGCGCTGCGCGGCGGCCTCGTCGGCCCAGTCGGACTGGGGTGAAGCGCCGCGCGCAGTTTGCTCCGCGCGCAGTATGTGCGCGGGCGTAGGGCCAGGTCGCCCTCCATCGCATCTCCGCCTTCGAGCGGAGCGGCCGCCACGAGCAGCAGTCGACGCGGCTCGGCGTTGCACCCAGCCAGGCCCTGGCGGCCCGTCCCAGCGACGCTGGTGAGGGTGCTGCAGCGGGGGGCGCGTGGCAGTCCCGACGGGGTCGAGGGCGCCGAGTTCTTCAGACTCCCTCGGACGACGAGCTCAGGATGTGTGCAGCCTCGGCGGTCCTGGCAAGCTCGACCTCCCAAGGGCGCGCGTGACTGCAATGACGGCCCTTGCCGAGATAGGGGAAGCGACGGCAACTGCGGCCTCTGCTGCGCGTGCGCCGGTGCTCGCTCCCTCGACTGCCGCCCCGGCGCCGAGGCCCGAGGTCCCCTCGGTGCAGATCTCTGAGGATGCCCTGACGGTGGAGCGGCGCGGAGCGCAGAGGACGTGGCGCGTGGTGCTGCGAGGCCCGTGAGCGCGGCCCCGATTGCCCGCGCTAGGCCGAAGGGACCGCTCGACCCCGCGGCGATGGCTCGTGCCCAGGCCCCTCTCTCGCGGGAGCGCCTCGGGGATGCGCCGAGGGAGCTCGCCGCGGGCGGTCGAGGCGGCCCCTGCGCGTGCCGTGCTGGCCGGCGCGGTCTCCTTCGCCATCCTGGTAGTGCCCCTGGGCGGAGGCGCTGGCCCGACCAGCGTGATTACCGCTGAAAGCTCCTGGGGGAGCGGGGTCTGCAGGTGGTGCCGTGGGGCGCCGTGCTGGGCCGCCTCTTCGACCCCTTCGCGGAGACCTTCGTCTCGTTCGGCGGCTCCTTGGGCAGGTGGGACTGCTCCGTGGGCTTCGCCGTGGTGTCCCCCGGCGTGGAGCGGCGCCTGGCCGTGTGCCTGGTCAGGAGCTGGCCCGCCGCCTCTCCTCGTGCTGAGCGCCTCTTGTGCTGGGAGGCTCTTGACTCTCCTCGTGCTGAGCGTCGTTGTGTCTCTTGCCTCTCCTCGAGCTCTCGTTTTCACCTCCCGTTGGGAAGCTTCCCGCGTCCCACCCTACAACGCCTGTGGGGGACCGGTTCGGCCCCCGTGGGGTGCCGCGGCCTCTGGGGGCCTTGGCACGGTCGTAGTCCTCGGTCGCGCTCAGCGCGTTGCCTCCCGACGGCACGAGGTTTCAAGGCCCGCCCGAGGGGCGCGAGCGTCTCTCTCTCTCTCTCTCTTTCTGTCTCTCTCTCTCTCTCTCTCTCTCTCTCTCTATATATATGTATCACCATTCCCCCCCTCTATTTATCGGGATTCGCTTCGTGCCGTCAGAGTATCCAGGGTCTCCTCCCAGCTCCTCCATCCTGTCATTCTCGTCCTCCTCCTCCTGCTCCTCCAGCTGCTGCTGCGGCTGCTCCTCCTCCTCCTTCTCCTCCTCCTTTTCCTCCCTCTCGCCTTCACTGACCATCATCTCTCCGCCTCCTGCTGCTGCTGCTGCTGCTGCTTCTTTTGCTGCTGTTGCTGCTGCTGCTCCTCCTCCTCCTCGTCCTCCTCCTCCGCCTCCTCCTCGTCCTCCTCCTCCTCCCATCCTCCTCGCTCTGCCTCCATCTTCCTGCTCGCTGATAATCCTCTCTCTTCCTCGTCCTCCTCCTCGCTCCCTCCCTCCATCCCTCCGCCTCCTCCTCCCTGCGCTCGTCCTGTTCTGGTTCCTTACCCATTATCTCCTCCTCCTCCTCCTGCTTCTCGCTGATGATATTATCCTGTCCTCCTCCTCCTTGCTTGCTCATCCGCTCTCTCCTCCTCCTCCTCCTCCTCCTCCTCCTCCCTCCCTCCCTCCCTCCCTCCCTCCCGTCTTTTCGTCTTTTTCTTCTTCTTCTCTTCTTCTTCCTCCTCCTCATCTTCCGCCTCCTCCTCTCCTCCTACTCCTCCTCCTCCTCTTCCACCTCCCCTCCTCATCCTCCACTTCCTCCTCCTTCTCCTTGCACCTCCTCATCCATCCCTCCCTCCTTCTCATTCATCCCTCCCTCCTCCTCCTCCTCCTCCTCCTCCTCCTCCTCCAGCCCGTCCACCCTTTCTTCCTCCTCCTCCCCCTCCTTCTCCTCCTCCTCCTCCTTCCACTCCTGCTCTCTGTCTACTGCTGCTCCTCCTCGCTATTTCCTCCCTTCCTCCTCCCCTCCTCTCGCAGCCTGCCCCGCCCGCGCATGCGTGAGGAGGCCGCCGAGGCCGTGAAGACACGACGACGAAGACGACGAAAAACGCATACGAATACGAATGCGAATCCGACTGCGACGACGACGACGACGACGGCGACGGCGACGACGACGGCGACGGCGACGGCGACGAACGGCGGCGGCGGCGGCCGCCGTGGCGATGGCGGCAACCCGCGGCACGCGGCAGCGGCGTCCACGGCGCCTCGTTTCCGCGGCAGCACCGCGCTAGGGGGCTCCTCCGGTCGCCGTCATCGTCGTGTTGGGGGTTGGGGGGTGGGGGAGTGAAAGGAGGACTGAGGCTGAGGATGGGGAGGCGGGGGGGAGGAGGCGGAGGAGAAGGCGGGATGATCAAGGGAGTTGGCGTTGCCGGAGAGGGGCGACGGGGTCAGGAGGGGCAACAGGGTCAGGCACGATGGCAAGGAATACTGCGACGGCAATATCTCGGAAACAAGCTTATCGTTGTTTAGATTCGGGTACAGACGATTGAGATGAGGAGAAGGAGGAGGAGGAGGAGGAGGAGGAGGAGGAGGAGGAGAGGAATAGGATCACACCTCTCTCGGTCGGACGATGATTGTGGCCCCCCCGACAGACTCGAAATGAAGGCAAACACAGTGCGCATGACGCATGACCCTAACTGGAGATCCCTGAACGTGTCAGCCAAAGCATCCTGGCGTCACATTGGGAACCATAACAACAATCCTCCCGTCCTCCTCCATTCCTTTTCCCCCCCTTGCCCTCTTGCGGTCCCGCCTACAATTCTCCCTCCCCTTCTTCAATTTCTCCTCTCATCTATGTCTCCCTGCCGCCAATTCCCCCCCCTCATTCCTCCCCCCTTCCTACTTGTTGCCTCCCATGCTCCCTCCCCCTCCTCCTGCTCCTCCATTTGCCCAGCAGCCGCCTGATCCCCCCACCAACAACAAGGGATGGAACTGGGGGCAGGAAGAGGTGGCAAAGGTGAGCAAGGGGAGGAGGAGGAGCAGGAGGAGGAGGAGGAGGAGAAAGAGGAATGGGAGGAGGAGAAGGAGGAGGAAGAGGGCGAGGGGGGGGAGGTATATCCGTGGCCACTTTGGCTAAAGCCGCTCAACAGCGAGCGGCAGCCCTGTCCTTCAAACTCGTTCGGCGATGGCCCCTCGGTTTGTCGCTGCAGTCTTCGCTCGTTGTGCTTGAGAGGACGCTTCGGGAGGGCGCGGGTGATGCGCGCCCAGTGTCAGATGATGTTGCTGCCCATCGCCGCACGGCTGCTGAACGTCGTGAACGCCGAGGGTGGGCCCGCAGGTCTGCCGATCGGGCGATCCAGCGCTTGTCCGATCAGCTGAGGGTGCACAAGACCGAGTATGAGCGTCTTTGTGTTTCTGTTGCCCATCTTCTGGGTGAGCCGGCACTGGCAGATCGGATATTGGCTCTTGCACCGGCTCTGTCTGACCTGCTCCACGGTCGCCCTGCCGATCATACTGCGGTCCGTCGGAGAAACGTGGCTTTGCATTCGGCGGTGCAGCCGGGTGTTTGGGTATCTTTGGCCACGGTGGCGGAGCTCGAGCACATGCAGAAGGGACCTCGTCCGCCTTTGCCTTCGGTGCTGAATCCTGATGCGGTTCCTTTCATGCCTTGCGGTGTGTGGGAACCGATCGACGGCAGCGTGACGGAGTTAGGTCGCGAGGGCAACGTGGCTCAGCCCCAGGGGGAGACTTGCCCCTGTATTGTATTGGTTCTGGCCCTGTGGGTGGAGCAGCAACACCACGGCCAACACCACGGCTGTGCGTCGACGAAGCGATGGACAACGGCATGCAGGTGAAGGTGTGCGGTCGGACTTGGTGGCAGGCGCGTGCGGCCACTGCCGCCGACTGGCTCATAACTGGGGCTTCTCGCCATGCTGCCGCGGTCCCGCTTCGCTCGGAGGGAAAGGGATCCGTTCCTGACGACGGTTCCCGTGATGGCGTACTGTCTGTATCTTGCCCCACCCAGCCATTCAAGTTCGTTCGTGGTTCGGCGCGCTGGGATGGCTCGAGCTCCACGTCCAGCTCCGATTGTGCCAGGATGAGAGGGAGGTGCAGGAGAGGGAAGAAGCCGCCATCTTCGATGAGGGCTGCCGCCAGGGAGCCCGCCCGTGATGATTGCAAGCAGTCTTGAGCCTTCTCGTCCCATGTTGTCATCCCTTCTCGCCGCAAGTGGATAGCAGGTTGCGAGTCTGTTTGTTCAGTTGAGCCTTGAGTTGTGTTGATTGCACTGCCTGCACTCTCGGTCTCAGCGTAGTTTTGTAGTCGAACTGTTTTTGCTACCTCATTGCAGCACGTCGGGTGTAGCGGTGGCGGAGCTTCCAAGACCAACGGGAGACCAACGGGAGGAGGGGAAGGTATATCCTCCTCCTCCCCATCCTCGTCCACCCTCCTCCTCCTCCTCCTCCTCGTCCTCCTCCTCATCCTCTTCCCTCTTTTCCTCCTCCTTCCTTATCACATCAACCCGACATTGCACTATCACCCTCGCGTCGGTTTCTCAAGCACGTGAGCTCGGAACGCTCCCTGGCTGCTCCAATACTCCTGAGCTCTGACGCGTGTCAGAGGGCCTCCTGAACGACCTCTGGCTTGGAACGACCTCTGTCTCTGGCTGGAACGTCCTGAACTCCTGAGCTCTGACGCGTGTCAGAAGGCCTCCTGGAGTCACTCTGGAAGGCTCCTAGGGTCACTCTCGCAACAACAAGTCGTTTTTTTCAAAGATGGGGACCTGAAGGATGGAATCCTAATGACGAGGTGCCCAAGATAACGTCCATCCACCCTTGGATGCCTTCCCATCCTTAGGACCCCATCCTTCAGGACCCCATCTTCGAACCATCGACTTTGAGTTGCGAGGGTAATTCTAGGAGCCTTCCAGAGTGCGTCCACACTTGGATGCCTTCTCATCCTGAGAACCCCATCCCTCAGGCCCCCATTTTCGAACCACCGACTTTGAGTTGCGAGAGGGACTCTAGGAGCCTTCCAGAGTCCGTCCACACCCTCGGATGCCTGCCTATCCTGAGGGCCCCATCCCTCGGGACCCCACCCTCGAACCACGGGCAAGGGGCTCGTGGAGCCACGCTCTCACTCTGCGCGGCAGGCGTCCGATGACACGAGAGGCCGCCCTCCGCACCCACGCCGCCCGCATGTTCCCCCCCGAGGTCGATCCCCAGGCCTGTCCCTGAGAGCGCCCAGACCAAGCCGACGACGGGGACGAGGACGAGGACGAAGATGCTGCTGATGATGATTATGCTGATGATGATGCTGATGCTGATGATAATGATGATGCTGATGATGATGATGCTGATGATGCTGATGCTGATGCTGTTGATGATGCTGATGATGCTGCTGCTGCTGCTGCTGATGATGATGATGATGATGATGATGATGATGCTGCTGCTGACGATCTCGGTGTGAATCCAGCCGTTGCGGCGAGGCCCCCTTGGAGCTCCCCCCGAAAAGGGCGAAGGACATCGAAAGGCCCACCCCACGCCGCCGCTCCTCCCCTCGACCCGCCCCGAGGCGGGCGGGGGGCTCTAAGGAGCACGACTTGGCGGCGCCGCCGCTGTCGCAGTCGCGCCGCAGCCGCCGCCCTCGGCCGCCGTCTCCGCCGGTGGCGGCGCCGCCGTCGGCGGTGACATCGCCGCCTGCGCCCCAGACCTCCGACGATACGATTCCCGACTCGCGCTTGGCGAGAGCGTTCCGAGGGTGGCGAAGAAGGACCACAGAGGAGCCCCACCAGGGGGTCGGGGAGCCCGTGGGCGATCCGGCAGCCGCCTCGCCCGAGACCTCCCCACGATTCCCAGGACAGCGCTTGCACTGAAGGAGCTCTCACTTTGGGAGGCAACTACCGGGAGGTCTTCGTCGGAAGGATTGAGGAGGATTAGGCCCCAGTGGGGGGCTGTTGCGCCAGAGTGGGCCTCGGATTCAGCGGGATTCAAGCAATTTGAGCGGGATTCAGCGGGATTGCGCCGGATGAAGCGGGATTTTAAGCAGGATGAAGCCATATTTTTCGGACCAGGGCAAAATCAGAATCTGACCTCCCAGGAATTGCATCCGAACTTGCTCGTTTTCTGAAGGGCTGGGCCTGCGGGCCGCCGTGTGGCCGCCGTCGCCGCGAGGAGGGGGAGGGGGAGGGGGAGGGGCAGGGGGAGGAGGAGGGGGAGGAGGAGGAGGAGGAGCAGGAGCTCTTCGCCGCCCTCGTCGCCCCCCGGCCTGCGGGCCGCCCTGTGAGCGCCATGGGAGCGCCGTCGGCCCCTCGTCGCCGCCCGCCGCCCCGTCGCCGCCCGCTTTGCATTGCTTCGCACTGCTTCGCACTGCTTCGCATTGCTTGGCATGTTGTGCTGCATAGATTAGGCTACATATATATATATATATATATATACATATATATATATATATGTATATACTTATATACACGAATATACAAGTGGCACGTGTGCCCAGGCTCCTGCAAAACAAAACTGACAGGGCCTTTTCAAGCAGGAAAACACCATGACGGCGGGATCGGAAGCGATTAACAAGAGAAGTGTAAGCACGATTCCCACCCGCAGATTTGTTTCACCAGACAATGTGTGGAGGAAAAGAGAAGGAGGATAAGAGGAGGATAGCTGCTGGGGGTGAAATGCAATAGCGGGGTCGCACTCGAGCGCAAGTGGGGTTGCCACACCTTGCGATGTGTGTACCAAGGCCCCCCAGGAAACCTCAGGAGGCCCGACTGGGATACCGGAAGAGGCTCCAGGAGACCCCAGGATTGCGAGTGTTGTGTGTGTGTGTGTGTGATGTGTGCTCTGTGTTGTGCGTGTTTTCTGTGCGTTGTAGGTGTTGTGTGTGTGTGTGTGTGTGTGTGTGTGTGTGTGTTATGTTTGTCTAGCGTGTGATGTGTTGGGTGTGATTTGTGTCTCTGTGTGCGCATGTAGTTCTGAGGCCCCAGGAGGCCCTGGAGGCCCCAGGCGGCCTCAGGAGGCCCCAGGAGGCTGCAGGAGGCTGCAGGAGGCCCCAAGAGGCTCCAGGAGGCTGCAGGAGGTCCCAGGAGGCCCCAGGAGGTTCCAGGAGACCCCCAGGAGGCTCCGAGGCAGGGTCTGGGGTACCAGACGATACAGAAAGCCCCAGGAGGCCCCAGGAGGTTCCAGGAGGCTCCCAGGAGGCTCCAAAGCGGGGTCTGGGGTACCAGAAGGTACGTCGGGGCTCGATTTTGGGAGGATGTCTCAGGCGAAACCACCATTCTCTGAGAATCGGGGTCAAAATCA